AATCACGATTAGTTTCTTTTTTATGATTAATTAATATAATTTTTGTTGAAAAATTACATTTGTTTCATTTTCATTATTTTCAATAAATTCAAAAGTCCATCATTTTTCAAATTAAAATATATTGTTTTAAGCCCATCATATTTTAAAGGTTTGTGAATGAGCATTTAAAGCATGACATGTAATTTATTCATGTACCATGTCATTTAAAAATTGTCATGTAAGATGACACATGTCAACTTATTGGAGATATGAGTCTCAAATATTATAGTAAAAGATTTTTACAAGTATTTATTTAAATTAATCAGATCCAATCAAATCAAATTAGATTTATTTAAATTATACTATATAAGTGATGGGTAATAACCCATGGATTCCACCCGGTAGGTTCGTGCTGACCGGGAAGTATCAATTCCAACGTCCTATGACCTAGTCGACCCGGGCAGTCTGACCGGCCAGGGTTGAGAAGATTCGGAATCACAGACATGGCTTCACCTGACGAAGGCATGCAAGCTGACCGGTTGGGGACTGACCGACCGGAAGAGCAGAGACGTGCTTGACGTATTTAGTCATTATTATAAATAGGACTAAAAGCCTCATTTGTGAGGCATGCTTTAATTAATCCATGCGGCTTATATCTTGTAAACAGTCATACTATCATTAATAATAAGTCGGGTTACAGGTGTTTCCACCTACAGCCCTTCCGCTCATTTACACTTAATATTTGCACGGTATTTACACCATCAATAAGATTTGAATTAATTCTATTCAAATTTTATCCCATCAAATCTTATTAGATCAAGGTAGATCTTGAAAATATCACGGACCATGCTACACTTACACCAAAAATTGTATCCTATTTGTACACCGCAGTTATACACAAACATTTTGATGGTTTACACCAACACAAGTGTTGGTGCGTTAACAAAAATTAATTTTACATCAACACAAAATTTTGGTGCAAAGATGCGGTGTACAAATGGGATACAAAAGGTTGGGTACAAATAGCTTGCGGGATATGCTAGGGGTACACCAAAGGTGTACCCCAAATGTACACCACTCCTCTCTTTACCATTCATTTTATTTTGTTTTTAATTTTAATTTTTTTTTGAATTTTTCTTGCTTTTTTGTGTGGTGATGGAGAGGGTGGGGGATGTTTGGGGTACACTTTTGGTGTACCCCTAGCATTTTCCATAGCTTTATCCATCACAATCAGAATGTGGATCAATCCATCAAAATATCAATCAAACAATCTCAAGCTATCAATTAGGCCAGCCTTCGTAACGTCGTCGCTGCTTCAGACGCCTATTTACCCTCTCTCAATCTCTACCGTTCAATTTCAATTATACTGTTTTTTCCAATCAAGGGCTGCATGTTTGGCATTGTACACACGCAAGAAGAAAATTTGTGTATCTACAATATTTAGTCCTACTATTTGTTGTGTTAGTTATCATTACTTTTAAATCAAATTAAAATAAATATTGAACAAAAATAATGTATAATAATATAATCAGTTAAAATATCAAATATAACACAAATTGCTATCAATATCCACTATTTGTCTTCTAATAATGATTGCATTATTTTTACTTGAGAAATAATAAATTTTTTGCACATAAAAAATTCAGCATACACTTCGTATGAGATATACTATGTAATTATCAATACAAAAGCTATAACTTTTAAGATAGAAAAGAAAAAATTATAGATTATCCTACATACATTTCAAAACTAAAGAAATTTAAGGTTTCACATGAGAACAAATGCTACGTAAGTAAATCCAAATTAAAGAGCAATGAATAAATCTAATAATACCTTTGCCTCATTAACCGAGGGTAAATTTTCTCCCATCTACATACATCTCTTTATACTGCAGGCCGACGTCATTGTATTGGATTAAAAAGTACTTTAAGAGTACTTCAGACTACGTTTTGAAAATATTATCTTACACTTGATCTAGAATACTCCACAATATATTACTTCTTTCCTCCAGAAATATTCTTATCATTTAACTTTTCTTGGTCAAAATTTGAAAAATTTGACTAATATATGTAGAAAAAGTACATTGTATTATGGTATATAACTTTAATATAAATATATTTCATTTGAAACGTAGTGTTGTTTTTTTTATGTAATATTTTTTTAATGAATGTAATTTTTTTATGAATGTATTTTTTATGAATGTAATATTTTTTTTAATGAATGTAATTTTTTTAATGCACTAGTCTCATTGCGATTAATTTAAATAATAAATTAATTTAAATTTATTAATTTAAATTTAGAAGATGTATATTTAAAAATGTAAAAAAATGAAGGTTTGAAGCCCCTATTTAAAGCCCCGGGGCTTCAAACCCATTTCCACTGAATCTGCGAAGTAAGTTAAAGCTGACGTGATAGAGAGAAATTTTGAAGCCCCGGGGCTTCAAGAGTATTTCCAGTGCTCTAAAAGAAAACCTCTTAAATAGGAGTAAAACATATGTCATATCCTTAGAATAGGAGTTTAAACTTAAACTCCTCTAAATATGTACAACTCATTAAATTTTGTTTTCATTTACTCTTCCGCACAAACCACACATCCCAGCCCTGTGCAATTGAAAAAGTCACCCGGCCTCTTCCCAACCTCATCCTTCTTTGGTCTCCATCGTTCTAATCTCTGATGCTGTCAATCTAATCTCAAACCCCTCTCCGCCGCTACCGTCTCCTCTATGTGGCAATGATTCCACCGCATTCTCCATCATCTTCCTTTCTCTCATACACACAATCTCCTTTCACCCCTCTCCACCATTTTCATTTTCCGTCGCTCGGATGCCTCTGTCCCCTTGGGTAAGTGATACAATTTGATAATAACTTGTCTTATTGAATATTGAGAGATATGACCCTATATATAGGGAATACAAGAGTAATCAAAGTACAAGCAGGAAAGGAAAGAATAATCCTAGTAGGAAAGGAAAGAAGTATCCTAATTTAATTATACTTCCTAATATCCCCCCGCAAGCTGATCAACGGAGACGGGGGGCAGTTTGGAACATAAGTACTCAAAAGGAACTGGCGGAAGCGGTTTGGTAAGAATGTCTGCTAGCTGCTCTGAGGAGGAAACATGATGTGGAGTCATAGTGCCTGCCATAACCTCATCTCGTACAAAGTGACAGTCTGTGCCCACATGCTTCATGCGATCATGAAGAACCGGATTTTTGGTGACACAGATAGTCGACTCATTGTCACGGTATAACTTCGGTTTGGACGGAGGAATACCCAATGCATCAGTGATATATCGAAGCCACATAGCTTCTACAACCCCTGCAACCATAGCTCGATATTCAGCTTCAGTGGATGATCTAGAAACACGAGTCTGCTTTTTCGTGTACCAAGAGATGATATTAGGACCGAGTAGGAGTATGTAGCCCGTGGTAGACTTGCGATCATCTTTATCATTGGCCTAGTCAGAGTCAGAGTAGACAGATAGGTCGAATCCCCCCTTGCGAAAAAGAAGACCATGATTCAAAGTGCCTTTGAGATAGCGCAGAACGCGTTGCAAGGCATGATAGTCCTGCTCAGTGGGGTTGTGCATAGTCTGAGACACTCGATTAACAGCATACTGAATGTCTGGACGAGTGACAGCCAAGTAATGTAAACCGCCAACAATGCTCCGAAAATGAGAAATATCCTTGAAAGGCAACGAAGGCTTAGTGATAGGTCTCGTAGCCATAGGAGTAATAGCCGGATGACAGNAGTCAGAGTCAGAGTAGACAGATAGGTCGAATCCCCCCTTGCGAAAAAGAAGACCATGATTCAAAGTGCCTTTGAGATAGCGCAGAACGCGTTGCAAGGCATGATAGTCCTGCTCAGTGGGGTTGTGCATAGTCTGAGACACTCGATTAACAGCATACTGAATGTCTGGACGAGTGACAGCCAAGTAATGTAAACCGCCAACAATGCTCCGAAAATGAGAAATATCCTTGAAAGGCAACGAAGGCTTAGTGATAGGTCTCGTAGCCATAGGAGTAATAGCCGGATGACAATCGGACATCCCAGCTCGGCGTAGAAGATCACGGGCATATTTGGATTGATGGATAAGTATAGAATCTTGCGTGCGCTGAACCTCAATGCCAAGGAAGTAATGAAGAGGTCCAAGTTCTTTGAGCTTGAAGTCACGGTGCATGGCCTGAGTAACTTCTGAGATGAGAGTAGAAGAGCTGCCAGTGAGAATAATATCATCAACATAGACAAGGACAACAATAGTCCCACGAGAGCAGTGTCTGGTGAACAAGCTGGTATCATGAATGCAGCACTTGAATCCAAGGCCCTACAAAAAAGAGGAGAGGCGTGTGTACCATGCACGGGGTGCCTGTTTGAGACCATATAGTGATTTGCGGAGCTTGTAAACATAGTGAGGATGAGTGGGATTTATGTACCCCGGGGGCTGCTCCATATAAATTTCCTTGTCCACTGTACCGTGAAGAAAGGCATTGCTAACATCTAGTTGATGAAGAGGCCAATCACGGTTGAGTGCTAAAGAGAGGACCAGGCGCACTGTTTGTTGCTTGACCACAGAACTGAATGTCTCATTGTAATCAATGTCATACTCCTGATGATAACCTTTTGCGACAAGACGAGCCTTGTACCTTGAAACAGATCCATCACCATTCCGTTTAATGCGATACACCCATTTGCAACCAATCGAAGTGCGGTTCTTGGGTGGTGGAACCAAGTCCCATGTACGTTGCTCATTCAAAGCAATAAACTCCTCATCCATAGCCTGACACCAAAAACTATTACCAGAGGCTTGGCGGTAAGTGCTAGGCTCAGTGGTAGATGGGGTAGTATCAAGTGTGGTAATGGTATAGGCTTTAGGTTTGAAAATTCCAGATTTGGCTCGGGTTTGCATGGTGTGTGTGTTTTGGGGTGGGGGTCGGTTAACCGATTGTGTGTTTTGGAGAGGAGTAGGTGACGGTCGAGGGTGGGTTGGGGTACGGTTCTGGGGTTGGACCGTCTGTGGCGTGTCCATAGGGAGGGTGTCAGGCTGTCGTCCGTGACTGGTGGGACGGGTCTGGGGTTGGACCGTCAGTGGGACAGGAGCATGTGAGCCTGGGCTTGGAGGAAAAATAGGGGTTATAGGAGAGGGTGACGGGAGGGATGACAATTTGGGATATGGAAACTGATCCTCGACGAACCGAACATGACGAGAGACATAAACTTTTTGAGACACGGGTTCATAGCATTTATACCCTTTAGTGGTGGGGTGATATCCTAAGAAGACACAAGGAGTGGAGCGTGGTTGAAGTTTGTGGTGAGTGTAAGGGCGGAGCCATGGATAGACCAAGCAACCAAAGGCACGAAGGTGGGTATATGTAGGAGGACGGTTATAAAGAGTTTCAAAGGGAGATTTGTTGGAGAGAGTTTTGGTGGGCATACGGTTGATAAGATAGTTTGCTGTGGCAAGAGCTTCGACCCAAAAGGTAGTCGGGAGAGCAGAGTCGTATAGAAGAGAAACAACTGTTTCAATGAGATGA